TCTCTCTCTCTCTCTCTCTCTCTCTCTCTCTCTCTCTCTCTCTCTCTCTCTCTCTCTCTCTCTCTCTGGTTCGTCCCCCCCTTCCCCACCCCCCCGCGGCGCCCGTTTCTTTTTCGTTTGTTACTTCAGATTTTCGTCTTTTGTTACTTAGATTTTCGTCGTTTTTTTTTTTTTCGCGCCCGCTTTTTGGGGACTACCGGTCGCACGGAGGTGGGTACCCCGCCCGACGCGGCGCGTTAACGGCCGCGTCGGCTTTTTCAAGCTGGGCGAGGTACTGGTGGTTTAAACCTTTTTTTTTTTGAGTGGGGCGTCGGGGTGGTTGTTTGTACCTCCCAGCCCTTATAGCATCGCCCACCGACAGTGCACTGTACCCAGTCCGGATACTATGATCCACCCGGCATAGTACCACCCGATGCACATAGTATCACCTGGGACACATAGTACTGGCCATGGTGCTGCCCAACCCTCTTGCTATTGACAAGGCCCTGCCCACATGGTACTGCCCAACCCTCTTGCTATTGACAAGGCCCTGCCCACATGGTACTGCCCAACCCTCTTGCTATTGACAAGGCCCTGCCCACATGGTACTGCCCAGTCCATGGTGCCGCCCAGCCCGCCTCCCACATAGTAGCTCCCTAACGACAAATGGAATGGCCCACCCCATGTGGTATGACCCAAGCCGCATAGTATGACCAACGGCACATAGTACTGCTCGGCCCACACAGTACTGCCTGGCCGTGGCAATGCCGCACAGTCCACTGGTGCCGTCCATCGTGCAGGCCATGTAGTCAACTGCACAATAAAAGCATGGCTCTGTCTGTTGGTGTCATCTAGTCTGCGTAATATGACCTGCGGGCGTGCTCACACTACCACTTCTTTTCTTGGTTTTGGCCATAAGTGCCCATTTGGACTTTTCTTTTTTTGGTGTAAGGCCTGTTTTATTTTCTTCTGCTGGGGAACATAGATGCCGCACGTGGAGGGAGGGTGGGAGGGCGGGAGGTGGGGTACGACGCATGCGGATGGCTCATGAAAGAAGAATCCTGCCCTGCGCTGCGGGTGTAGCCGCGGCGGGTCAATTTGTTGTTCTTCAAATGATCACCCCCCGCTTGGCAGCAGGGCTTGTCTAAGCAATAACTTGATGTTTTCATTGTTTGTGCTCACTCACTCAGTCTCACTGACTGCATGTACTGTTTCTGCCGCAAGGTCACGCAGCTGCAAAGGCCTGTTGCTCTAGTCAGTCTTTGTTTTGCATGGAGCCTGACAGATTGTTCAATAAGCAATCTGGTGTATCCACATGTTGCATGTCAAGTTTGACGTTTGGCTTCTAGATCTCCTTTTGTTGTTTGAAGAGAGGGGGAACGTCCGAAAAGGGGTGTACTTCCTAACATGATTGTGTCCGACAGGATTTGTTCTTTTGATCAATCATTACATATGTGCGCCTCTCACTTGACAGGTACTTCGCTTCTGGACGTAGCTCATGGTCAGATGTCTAGTAACCTCGTCAATTAGGGCCTCACTCCCCTAGTCAACATTCGATAGTATGTGTACTGATGTGTGGACCTGATACAGTGAGACTGATCGATCATTTTGAATGTATTTCAACACTTTGCAAAGATCCTGACACTATTTCACTTGCAAAGCAACATGCAATTGAGAGCAATTAAATAAAGCTCACATGAGCTTGAGATATGGCCATGAACGGTATTCAAAGTTCCACTCAGATACAATAATATACAATTAAAAAATCCGGAATTCGGCAGTAGCAACTGCTGAAACAACCCCCAACTCCGATCCTGACTTTCCCCTGTCCGATCCGCTGATTTTCTCTTAGTTTCTCTCTCTCTCTCTCTCTCTCTCTCTCTCT